GGTTCCCTGAATTGTTCAAGGCCAAATGTCCAGGAAGCATCAGAGCTAGAATTCATCCAAGTCTTCAATTTCCAAATCTAATGCTAAAGAAAGATTTGAGATCTATTAGTTAGGACCTAGGGAAAGGATCTTGGGGTAATTAGCAGCAGTTGTCTTGTTAATGTGGTCCAAACTGGCCAAAATAAAATGTTAGTTGTCATCAAGAATGGTTTGGAAAACCAAACAGGAACTCCTCTCCAATTCGACCCTAAATCTTTGGTGCCTAAGGCTGGCTGCCACACCTCTAGAAGCAGGTGACCAAGCAGAGACGATATAGAGGAGAGTAACTAGGACCACAGAAGACAGGGGATTTGAGGAGTCAGCAGACGTGTCTAATAAAAAGTTACTCTTTATCCTGGTTAAATAAAGAGTCTAAATATGCATGTAAAGTAATGGATGGCCTGGTTGACGGAACCTGTTCGGAAAGTCTCAGAATTCCAGCACGGGAAGCATTCTCTGAGCCATAGTAAGTCTAGCAAATGATAGCAAATTCTCCTTGATGCTAATAAACTTAAAGAACTCATTAAACTAAGAGAGTAAAGCAAAAAAATAAACTCATTGGGAACTTGGAGTCATTTGTGAATGACAGAGTCATAAATGGTTTCTGAGAGGGTTAGAGTTGTGCTTAATCATAAAGGCTGATGGCAAGGATGATGTCAGCTGGCCCACATCCTCGGGCTTCTATTAACAGAGCACTGGCCACTGGCGCAGGAGTCTTCCTCTGTAAGGCAATCTCTTTGTGCTCTCAATTTGGCCTTCAGGAAAGTGTCACCCAGAATGACATTCTCTTCAAATTACAATTTTCAAAAGCACTGTCACTTATCACTGAGTTTCCACTAATTAGCACTGAGGAAGGAGTAAATCATAGCACTAACATCAGATACGGTTCTTACATGTTATTTTGATGTATTCCAATCACTGAAATCAGGTCTGATTCAGTTCACTAATCTGTTTTCCTTTCATCTTTTCACACATTATTAAGATTTCTGCTTCACCAAGTATAATTAATGCTCTTCATTTCTTAATGCGAGGTCATCACCAACAGCTTCACAGAAATCATGTAGCACAGACTTTCACCCTCAGAACACATTTCCTCGTGTGTCCAAAATAGAACAGAAACAGTTGATAGAGAGTGGAGATCCTGGATTGTAGGCGTGACTGAACTGGTTGATGTTAAGCCACAGATAACTTGGAAAATAACCAGGTTGAAGTTGCCACTGAGATGACTAGCTAGCCAAATCAAATAGCTTTTCAGTTAGCTGTCAAATTAATCTCGTCATCTTTTAACACCTCCCTGAAATGATCATTGCATTGCTACAATATTGGACTTTGTGAAAACTGGTTTTTAAAATAATGTATTTATCCATTCATCCACCATTTATCGAAGGTCTGTTATAGGCAAGGCTCTGAGCCAAGCATGGTGAGCAACTAAAGTATCCACAAAGGACATGCTCCTGCTCTCAAAGAGCTGACGTAAGAGAACTAGGTGGCTTCCGTGTACAGCTCCACCCACATAGTTCTCCAATTTTGTAAATCATGATGATATCTAAAATATGCCCATAATGACGTATGCTGGTTAGGACCAGGATGACCATATTATTTATTGTTTGACAAGTACTTTGAGAGAGAAAGGGAAAACTATTAATAATTATGCCGGGACAACAGCCTAAGCTGATGTTATTCTGGGCAAACTGAGGTAAAGCCTAGCGATTACCCTCTGGAGAACACATTGTGTCTCACCTGATACATCTCCATTCTCTTCCCAATGTAGTTGAAGTCTATCGCAGATCATTTCAGAAATGAGGTCTACATGTTACAAACCAATGAACCGACCGAATGACTCAAAGCAAACAATGACGTTGGTTGCACATTGCTGGTTATCATTTTCTTGAATTATTTCCCTTGTTTTTTACTCAAGAAGAACTTTTAGCATCAGTTCCATCTATTAGAAATAGAATTGTGATCAACCAAACTGAAAACTGCTAGTATACAATAGAATATCATGCTGTTCTCCAATTTAACATGACATGAATTTAATTTCTTCTAATTTTTAATTTTCAAGAATGGAGTGTATAGGTTCCTTCGTAATATAGAATTTCTTCTTGAATGACTATAAATTGCCTGTAAGAAATGAGGCCACATCTCACTGAATCCATTACTGATCTTTTTTGTGAGAGCAAATAGAATGACGTGTGGAAAACTGGGTACACACTAGGGAATTTAATATTTGGACAAATTTAAATATCAAAACCACTGACTGGAAATTGGTAATTGTTTTAATATTATTTCTACTTAAAATTTTCCTGACTCATAATATATATTTATGGGTTATATGTGTATTCTTTTCATAAGCTTTATAAAAATAAAAAGAATTCTTTCTTTCTAAAAGGGCATAAACCACGGCTATTATCTTTTTCTCACAAATGTAATTACCGAATCACAGATTGTTTCATGCAAACTATAGAAATTTATTGGAGACTAATTAATTGTCTGCACAAAGGAAACAGCATAGTAAATATAACTCAGCCCAGAACAGTTGGGCTATTTGCAGTGAAATATATTTCATTGTTTAGAAAGCATATTCATGATTGTTTCATTGTCTACTTGAATTCACTTTCATTTAGTTCCACATATGGCCCTGAATACCTATTACTTCCACCCATTTCCCCTAATATTTCATAGATAATCCTATGCTGATAGCAAGACTATGTTACAAAGGAAAACTGAAGTTCCAGTATGTCTATTATTCAAAGTGACAAAGTATATATTAATGCCTGATAAATGTCTGAAATCACTCTAGTTGATGCCTAAAACTCAGGAAAAAATTACATTTAAAACTAATATGTTCCTTGGAATTTTTCAATAGCCAGCATCATGTCATATATATAGTAGGTAATAAATATTAAATAATTTACTAATATAATGAATGAAGTGTTTTTAAGTTAAGTTCAACGTGGCAGTTTCTAACTTTGAGAATCATGTGTGTTTGCACTTGTATGTGCATGTGTCTAACCTGCCCCATAGTGACTGAAATTGAGATGAAAATGATAGTACAAATTAAGTACAAAAAGTTGGCCCATTTTCCCTACCAAATTAACAGAATGAAAAGGGCAAGTCTTGGTCATTAGTGAGCACTTTGATAATGATAGTGTTAACCTTAAGGATAAGTGAGCTACACTCTCCATTAGGGAAACATTTCCATCCAAGAATCAAATGCACAGAAACCCTGTTATTCATGTTGAAGTGGAATTTGATAAATTGGCTCTGTCCTAAACCAATCCCAGAGGTTGCTTAGATCCACCAAGACATAGGCTGTCTCTCACAGCCTATGTCTTGGACCACAATCACGTGGACACCCGAGGACACTCTCTAAGCAGTCCTCTTTGCTTTTAGAAAAGCATTACATTATATCAGATTGGGCAGGGCCTCTCAAAATCTTAGTGATTGTGAAAAGGAGTGTAACTTCACTTCTCTTCAAAGATAAGTATGGTTGAATTGTTAAAAATCCATGTCCTTTAAATCCACCTCCTCTAAAACCAATAAGAACTGACCACTGTCGCAACTTAGAAAAAAGACATTTTAAAGGATATGTTGCTCATTGCTCTTTGAGCCTTAAATCCTCATTTCATTCTTCTTTCCCAGTCAAATACATATACAAGTCCTCAAAACTTGCCGATGAAAACTTCCTTGCTCCTCTCCCCTACCCAATCATCCTTAGGAGTATCTCCTTGGTTCCCACACCATGCTAAATAGACCTCTCATAACATTTCATGATGACAATGCCAATGATGGTTAATATTGTGGAGTGCATACTCCGAGCTAAGCACTATGCTAAGGTCACTACACACGTTCTCTTATTTATTATTCACAAAAGTCCCAAGACTTAGGTAATATTATTTTCCCATTTTACTGATGAAAACATAAAGTCAGAGAGAGGTTAAGCGCCTTTTCCAAGGACAGCCAGTTCAGAGTTTGCATTGCAAGCATGCAGACTCAGAGTGTGTGCACCTCTTACCAATGAACGATATTGCATCAGCCTTTATGTGTCACCTGGTCCTCCATCCTGTGAGCTACAGGAAAGTAGAGGAAATGTCTTTTTTGACTTTGTAACTTCAGCGCTTGGCATTCGTGCCTGACAGAGTCGGTGCTTCCGTCTTCACTGGAGGAATAAATGACTAGATGAATGAATGCCATGCTGTGTGCCAGAGAAGGAAATTATAAGGTTTCCAGAGGTGGGGAGGGCAGAAAAAGTTTCACCCAGAAGATATTTGACCCAGTTCTTAAAGAAGGAGCGAGAATTTTCTTAGCAAAACAAAAGCATATTTTCCTCTGACATGTTTTGTTTTGTTTTGTTTGTTACCAAAGTGTTAATTAAATTGTTTTCTACTGAAGAAATTAATTCACAAATAAAGTTGTGTGCCTGTTAGCAAAGAGAGCCCAGAATGCCCAAGTTCTTATTCATAGTCTAAGTGCCACATTTTGTTTATAATCATCTGTTGCCTTGGTTGGTTATTAGTCCTTCCTTGTATAGCTGCATTTTGATATTTGTGAGGGTTTAATAAGGAAAACCTGGGAGAAAACCATCAGAGCCATAGACTTCCAGAGGGATCATTGAACAAGGCTTAGAAATGCAAGAGAAGGAAGGAAACATTGCACTGGCCCAAAAAGATAATAAACATCAGACAGACTGTTGATGAAGTCCCGCACAATGAGAGAGGAAAATATGCTGAGGAGAAGTAGGTGGTGCCAGAAGAAAAGGAAGAGCCAGGAAAGAGCGAGAAGCATTCATAAGGGGGAAAAGCCCTATGGCAGCCGCAGGAGCTCAGAGACATGGATGGAAATTTCTGTATTTGCCCCAAGAGCACCACTCATAAGACCAAAGCTTATCATTTTTCACAAAACTGGTTGTCAGAAAAGCCTTACAAAGAAGTTTGTAGATGTTCTCCCCTTTCCAAACTCACCTGATCCTGGAGTAATTGTGCCGTCCGCTCCTGCCTCCTTGCTGCCCATCCGTCCTCCCTGGGAGACACCTTGGTCTTCAGTAACTGCTCCGGTGGGACAAGCTGACATTCGGGCCTCTCAGCAGGAAACCCAGTGTTCTGTCCTTTCATAGGTCCCACGACAGTGCAGAGCTATCCTCTACACCGAAAAGAATGAGCTTATCTTCCCAAAGTGACCATTCCATCCACACACTGGTTTCTACAACGCATCTGACAATAGGGAGGACATAAGGAGTGAGGAAAGAGCAGGGAGTCTGTGAAATATAACATATAATCTCTACTATAATAATTTCAAGAAAACTACAGTCTTGTTTTAGAGGGAAAAAAAGGAAACTACAAGATATATTGAAAACAATTAACCCCTAATTTATGTTACTGAGTAAAAGCACAGTCTGAGTTCACAGAAGTTTGGTCGCTATGAGCTATTGCGAGAGGGGACATTTTCATGGCAGATGTGGGAATCAAGCTAGGTCATGAAATATGAGACAGATTAGAGGACAGAAAATGGGAGAGCATTCAAGAGAGAAAAAAGGTCAAAAGTCAAGATGTGAGAGGGGGTGAAAGTGTGGATGACATCAAGTACAGAGAGCGGATGACTGGAACAGGCAAAGAATGCTGGGAAATAATGGGATATAAAATTGGATAGATTACAGGTAGGGCTAGATTACAGTGTAAATTGCCTACACTTCTGTTAAAATCTAGCCAGAGAAGGAAGAGTGGTTCCATAATTCTGTGATTTAGGGCTGTGCCATGTTTTCCTCTAAACGAATTCCTATAGGTTGTTACTAAGTGTGAGCTGCCATTTACTTTCTGACTAGAAGAGACCTTATACCAAAAACAGTAGCATCTTTCTTTAATGATGGTTTTATTTGATTAATGAAAACTCCAAAACTGATGTTTTTAGACTTATTCTTTCCTATTGGAGCCCAAACCAATACAAGCTTCTCCTTGTTCCAGAAATTCTTCTTTTCAATATTGGTGTACAGGCAGGACGTTTTTGTTAAGCAGATTGTGGGTGAAAGAGTTTAACTGGCTTATTAAAGGTACATATTCTTTAACCCAGTTTTTGATTTCTGCTAATTATGAGTTTTCTTAGGCATGATTTTATTACTAAGTCTTGCTCTAAGCACTTTTTTTTTTTACTTCATTTGAATCTTTCTAACGTTCTTATTCATTAATTGAGGATTTTCAGGCCTCTGACGCTCTCCCCTTTTTTCTCAAAGGACCAAAGACGTGTTTTGGTCTGAGGAGGTTTGAGTATAATCAGATTAAGTCTCCCTTGACTGAAAATTGAGCAAATTCCCTGGATCCACACGGCTAACAAAGAGCCTTTGGGGCAGTAGACTGATCCTGTTATGGTTCATCATCTTAAAATACATACAATTAAGAAATATATTTGCTCACTTTAATAAATGTCTCCATTGTACAGATCAATATAAATTGTACCCCATATCGAGCAGTGGTTTGAACATTTTGTGGATAGTGCAACCTATCTTCAGAGCTAAAGAAACCAGAAGGTTCTGAGAGTGGACCATTAACTGCCCGAAGGGAGTTAGCAGCTGGTGCACAAGACTCCCATTGGCTCAGGCCTCAGATGACCAGGGTTCTCATGGTGCCTTCTCTGATAGCTAATTATATCCACCTAATGATCAAATGCCCCAACATTCTGTCCCTCACTTAATCCTAACCAAATAGTACTGCTATTTCCACTTTACAGATGAGAAAACTAAGGCCCAACCTAGTGAAAGTGACTTCCTCAGAGTCATGCCGTTCATCTAACCTCAAATCCTTGTTTTCTTCTCCAATTCGCAATCTGGGGTTTCCGTTTCCTAATTTGTAAAATGCAACACTTGGAGATTCCTTTTAAGCAGACTGAAAATTTTAGAAATGTTAACACTTCTTAATTGTAAAATGAGGGTTTAAAATAGGTACCATTCCAAATACTTTACAAAAACACAAGTTTTTCACAAGACAAACTATAGCCAGGGAACTCTGTGGAATTTTTTGAAGAACAGCTCCATGGAGCGAATGAAGAAGATAAACGGGAAAGAAAGTTTAAAGTCTGCTCTGTGGACACAATGGGATCTGGTATCTATTTATTTTTACCGTTAAGTCCCGTGAGTGCTAAAGATATTCACAGCTGGCAGTATGTAAATTATCCTAATTTGCATCTTCTTTTGGTTAAAGGTTGTGTATGTTTGGGCTGGTATAACTCCATTGCCACTTAATTACCAATATATATGCTCTTGAATTATAGAAACCAATATAAGCAACCCGAGTTAAAAATTTATTTGCAGAACCCTAAGTGATGACTTTGAGCTTCACATTCACCCTGTAGGGTGAGCTGAAGAGCTACAGGTTCTGTGTAATGGCGTATAATTAGTCTTCTGCCTTGAAACAGAAATGGTGGAGTATTTTGCAGGACTCCCATCGTGGATGGGGAGTTTAGGCCATTGCTCTGTTGAAGAGGAAAATGTGCACCTTTGTAAAGAGGCATTCTGGGACGTAAGGAGCCTGGGTTGCATTATGAGACGCATGAAGGTGATGTGCATGTACATAGGTGCAAAGCATTTGAGTGGCTACCCGTTCAATAAAGTATTCCGTGAGGGAAGAGTAGACTGTGCCTGGGTATTAACTCACATGGCACTGTTAGCCAGAGCGGGATGTAACAAGGGCACCATCCTCGGTTCAGTTCGCTCTGAAGGATTTGCTCACTGATTTTCTCATTCCAGTGATCACAGATTGCAATCGTAATGACAAGCTCCCACTAAGTTCTCTCAGTTCAAAGTGAGGTCCAGATTGGGCCTGATGCACGGATCTATAAACCTTCCCCTCCCCCTGACAAAGGTGCCAAGTCTCACCCGGATTTATCAGGAGCTGCCCATCATTTATGTCAAAGTTTCTTTTCGCATTGGTTTTACGATGCCGTCTAATTTGTCAATTCAGTCCCCCAAAATCTGAGCACTTACAATATGTCATGAACTCTGAAGTTGACAGAAGGGAAAAAGATGGCACATTCTGTTTGAATACAACTTTCCAAACACAGAAGAGGACCTCGAAATAAATATAGGATCTTGAAATCATACATTAAGGCAAAAGTATAGTATGCCATGAATGTAAGTGTCCATGGCTAAGAATACACCAATTAGAATTTTTGCTACATAAATTAAAAGTATATTCTTATAAATAACAGTAGTTAGACTGTATACGATCTTATACACATGTAACACTGTCTTTGATTTTCTGCATGGTGGTGCAGGAAAACCTTTTTGCATCAGACTTTTTATAGGTAGTAATGTGCCATTGCAATGAGACAGCTTAAGTGTGTGTTAGGGACTATATATACTTTATATGGAGTGAAATATGTGTGCACATTTACACATAAATAATATTGAGGCCATTTTTTTTCTTACGTCTGCAAGAAAATAGGAGTTCCTATATAATGGTTTTGAAACTTAGTGTCTCAAAAGGAATATAAAAACAGCTCTGCCGTTCTCCCATGCTGGTGGAAACCTTAAAACCTTGGGCAATGGGTGAAATGGGAAAGGCCTCCTTATTTGCTCCTAAATGTTCCCCAGCGTCCTTAAAACATTATGGTCTCCTTCTTCCAGTCAGAGGCAAAAGAACTCATGTGGTTTGGGGAACCGGGCATAAAGACTATGGGATCCAAAAGAACCAGCTGCTTGCACTTGGAAATTAGCAAATGGATGTACAGTTTTTAACTATAAATTTCAAACTTTCCATCAAAGTCAAATTGTGCTGATGTTAGTCAAACCTAATCCAGGCATTGATTCAAGAACCTGCTGATGGAGTAAAAAATACATGGAAACTTGTTAACAAGAAGTACAATTATCTATGTCTCAGCAAATAATGCCAGAGTGCCATGTAATATGCTGAGCTCAGGCAGCCCAGAGCCAATAAAGAGCTCTCTCTTTTCTTCGCCGTTAATATTTACAGTTGGAAGCAATAGATGGCTGCAATCGAAGTGTTGCACCTAAGAAGGGAGTCGTTGGGCTTGATACCTTGTTTCCTGACACTGTGAAGCCCTGAAACAGCTACCTTCTTAATCATCGTCTGGTAACATCGTGTTAAGACTGGAGGGGAGCACACGGCTGTTTTATACAAGCAACAACCCTGGGAGATTTTCTGCGTTGTTTAGTTGTTTTATTTCTTGAGAGACATGCTGGGGTGTTAAAAGCATGGGACTGAAAGTTGTGAATTATGGGTCTTTTTCTTTGTTCTCCTGCTGAATTTTTCAGCATCTATGCAGGCACTGTTTATAGAGACAGCCTACCTCCCAGACACCTACTGTGTGCCAGGCACCTTCCTAGAACTCACAAACAAAACCTTTCCACCCATCAGCCTACTTTATTGAAGCTTACTCTCACATGCAAAGTCCTTAAAAATGTTAAACAAACATCGATGAGCAGAGAAGCCTGGCTGGTTTTGTAAGCACTACACATAGCAAGAGACTTGAAATATAAAATAACCCTTGTTAGTCACACCTCTCAGTGTGTAAATATGTCAAATAAGGGTAACCTAGCAGGAGTTAAGGGTAGATTTGTGGTTATATCTATATAACGCCCTACCTAGGATGCATCTGTGCATAACTGAACAAGCTCTGACAATATGGATACAGGTCTGTTGCTAACTAGCTGTGTGATTTTGGCCAAATTGCTTAATTCATCTTCTCAATAAGGGCAATCACCTCTGTATCATTAGATTGTCATGAAGATTAAAATGAGATGGCACGTAAAATGCCACGGACGCATTAAACTTTCAGATTTTAATTACTTTATCTTTTTCCCTATGTACCACCTTTTAGTTTCAAAGTATTTACAGATAGTCTCATTGTGGAAAATTAACTAAATATCGAAAAGATTAATTGCCTAGGAAGACACGCAAATAATCAAAGATCTAGCTGTGATCTCTGTAGTAGAAATAGTATCTTTATTCCAGGTTCCTGAGACTAGGAAAGGAGCCTTAAAAATAGTAGTGAAGAAACTTTAATAAAAGGGAACAATGACGCTATTGGCTGAAGGACCAACTTCTAGGACCACTTAAGAAAAAAAATGCCTTTTAATGTGGAGGAGATTTCTCCCCAGGTCTGCCACACAGAGAGGAGCGCTCGGACTGAGTTGAACTCCTCGTCTCTTCTTGAAGTTGTAGCTGCCCCTCGTGTTGTGAAATCTCAGCAGATGGCTCCCTTTTACACTCCACGCTGTCAGTGGAATGTAAATGTGTCTCCTCACAACACTGGAAATAGCGAGGCTGTGTGTTTAATCTGTGCTGAGCAAGCAGAATGACCCTGAAAAGAACACCAGCACTGAGCACGTTGGGAGATTTGGCATCAATCCCCGTAAACAGAATTGGGGAGGATTTTGCAAGCCTGGTGACTAATCGTGGTTTTCTTCCTAAGGCTCTTAGCACAGCCGTATCCCTGAGGACAAGTAATCTAAATGGAGATTGAATAGAAAAGTTATAGACCGGAGGGAAATGTTTTTTCTTACAAGAGGAGGAGAGAGGAATGTTATTCTGGGGTATGGGAAAAAGAAGTTGTACTGCCCACCACATTGAAGAGGCTTAGTTTACAGTTTGAATTCTCAGTTCTAAGTCTCTTTGGGAGTTTAGAAAACAAAATTTTCCTGTGTTTCCGATTATTGAAGTTAGTAAGGGGAATAGTCTTTCAGCAATTACTTCAAAAATCAGGGGAAAAAAAGGAATATAAATAATTCAAGCATCCATACGACACAGAATATGAGAAAATGCAGTAATCAACAAAGATTATCCAGAGAAAAGAACTTACATTTTGAGGGTATCAATAGCAAATTATCGAACGGAAGTATAATTAAACGCATTAGCTGGGTTCTCTCATTTCTTCTTAAATAGGTCTCTGAACTGGGTCAGAAACAGAGAATCTGATCTTCACCTTATGAAAACAGTCATCAAAGTTAGTCTGTGGCAAAAGGGCAAGAGGACTTTTTATGTGATTCATCCTTTGAGCCTTTGGTAGGAAAGGAGCAGAGTTCTTGGCACTTCTAAGTCTCGTCTTTTCTCGGGCAAGGGTCTCCCAAACTATTATTTCAAAAGGCAATGCAGACATTGTAAATATCATGATTACCTTGTACATGGACTTAGAGATCTGAAGGAGAAATAACTATCTCAGCTATATTTTCTGATCTAATTTTATAGTAGGCCGTTAAATTCTATGCTAAATTTATACATACAAGATAGGGAAATTTTAGTTCAGTGGTATTTTTAAACTAATAGGAAAATGCTGTTAGCCTTTATTTTTGTCCCTCCAAGATGGAATGCTTTACATTCCTCCATACTAATGTAAACATGTCCTTTTCCCCAGTTGTGTTTTTGGGCATTAAAGTGGACAGTTAGCAAAGTCAGACATAAGGTTTTTGTTTTGTTTTTTCAATCCTGCCAACTTTAAAACCCATAGACTTTTACCAAATGGCTTATTTGGAATTTCAAAGCCTGACTTCTGAAAGAAGTTTTTAGTTCTAAAACTAAATACTATTTTAATAAATCCCCACAACATGAAGTTCCATCCTTGCTGGTTGTAAGATGCCTTGGGGTTTTCAGTTGCGACAAGCTCATAGCTTTTAGTAATGTTCATTTGGGATCTGACCACCCTCAGCATTGCAGGATCCTTCTCTGTTTAGACAAACCAAGTCTCAAGCTATTTGGAAGAAAGAAGGCTGTGCAGTGGAAGGATTCCCATTAAAGCATGCTATGTGTCTTTCATCTTCCAGGAGGCAGACTTTGAAACTGAAGGTCTGATAATTTGATGTAAACTGACAGTGACAATAGAAATAGCTACTTCTGAGATTATTTAAGAGAAGGTGCAGGGTATAGACATTCATCAATGAAACACTAGAAGAAAGAGTTTTTATTTCTACGTTTGCTTTTTAAAATAAGAATCTAGTAAATGGCACAATAGATTATATAAACAAGGACTTCAATGACAAGCTGTCAAAGTTAAAGTAATATATTTTACGTGGGTGACTTGATGCCACCCTTTATCACCTACACGAGGGGAAGCCAATTTGAGTCTGGTCAATACCTCCAGGGTTGGGGTACAACTGACACAGCGTGGCAGAGCCTAGCAATTCAGTATTCTCTTCTGCTGAAACACAGCGGGAATTGGCACTGCTGCCATCTGGGGTATGTCGGACATTTAAGCTCTATTTGATTAATAAACACTTATGCAAGTATGTCAGGAGGGCCGATGCAGTGGGCCCTTCATGCTCTGGTAATTTAATGCAGATCTGAGGTATAAGTGGAACTAGTTATTCAAAAGCTGGATTTACTGCAGTCCCACAACTGTTGAAAATTAAACTACATGTGCTGCAAGTTAGGGGTTACTAGGGTATCTCATTATAGAGGCTATTTTTTTTTTTCAGAGGCTGGAATCTTTGCTGAATTACTGAGGGACTTATTTGAGTGTAGACTTGGACCAAATAATTTTCTGATAAGTTGGCCATAAATCCTCAGTAAAATAAGCTTGGTGTTCTCAGCATATCTATTGGCTTTTTGATCATTTTTATGGCTTTCCTTTTGCTGGTCAAATTATCCTTATATGCCCCCACAGCTCCTCTGACATGGATTAAGTCAACACAAACCAATAGACCTTCATTACTTTGGCAACTGGTTTTGATTTGGGGGCAATAAATACAATGACACAGACTAGATTACCTTTGCCCAAAGGATATGTGATAAGCCATAAGGATGTCGGGGATCCGGCATTCTTTTTCCTGAATAATGTGAAAATGAATTAATAGCAGCTTTAGACTGAGCGAAGAAAGCTGGAAAGAAAAAAGAAATCTGAGTGAGAATAGAGCCAAGGTACAGCTTTTAGGTCAAGGATGATGATGCCAGTAGACCATGAGAACGTCCATGGACACCCACTGCGTATCTGGCAGTGTGTGAGGCACTAGCAGGCAGGGTTAGGACCAAATACATGAGGAAACTAACATTTGATGTGATCCATGAATATCTCAATGTCTAGTAGAGGAGATAAGACCATGGGAACAAGATTTACTGGACAATGAAATCACGGAAGACAGAGAAATCAGCAAAATCTGGAATTGCAGAGGAAGGGAGAGTGGAAGAAGCAAGATCTGCTAATTTGGGGTTTACAGGAATTATTTTAATTTATAAAAATCATTTTTAAAAATATTACTTTTCCAAGTTTTTCTTTGTGGAAAAAATTGAAGCTTAAAGAAATTCAAAAAAAAAAAAAAACTAGTACAATGAACACATGTATGCTCTTCACTCAGCTTTATCAATTATTTAAGATTTTGCTACCTTAGCTTACGTCTATCTACATACATCCATTTTTTGCTGTATCTTTAGAAAGTATTTTGCAGACATTATAACACTTTATCACTAAATATTTCAGCAAGTATCTCTGAAAAAGGACTTCCTTCCTCAACCACAATACTAGTGTTACACTCAAGAAACTTATTATCATCCCATGTTCAAATTTCTCCAATTGTCCCAATAATGTCCTTTATAGATTTTTTAAAATCCAGGATACAATCAATTGCATTTAATTGTTGGTTGTCAGGTCTTTTTAGTATCTTTTAGTCTCAAAAGTCCCCCTGCCTTTTTAACACATTTGCTGAATATTCTCTTTCTTTTGAAATTATGTATAAAATTAATCAACACATTTATCAATCACCTTCTAAAATCTATAGACTATGGCAGTGATGGGGCATAAAGAAATTCAAATCCTTTTCTGCCCTACAAAAGCCAGGATGGTAGAGGACTCGGTATATTAATAGAAAGAGAACTAAAAATTTGAAGCTGATACATTTCTAATAAGGGGTATGGGTCATGTGTGCCAGGAAAGAACCAGCAGAGAACATGCATGAACTTGCTCATGTGATTGCTCATGGGAGTGAGAGGAAAGAGAGCTTCCTGCAATGGTACCTAGGTGGGTTACATGCCCAGGGTGGGTAAATGCTTTCCCGACAAAGGAGCTGCTACTCCCCATTCTACGTCTTCTCCATTTGTGGCTCTCTGTAAGTACTTACCCCTCCCTCGAACTCCTCAGGCAGGCAGGAAACGTCCCAGCACAAGTCACGCTTCTCGTTCTCCTGCCACTGGATCATGGTGTTTCTTCCACCTTCAACACCTTTCTTTACCTCATTCTCCCAGCCACTTCCTTAGAGAAACATAAGGGATGTGGTGAAGTCCACCTACCTTCCTCCTTCTCTTTCCTTTGCACTCACCTCTAACATAGCACCACTCTCATGGGACTGTGGGTGCTTATACAGCTACCCCAACCCCCAGGCACCACCACAAATAGTGAATTTTTTAAAGACAATGATTATGCCCTTGAATTCCATATGTCCAAGACCTCATATGCTGCCTGAAACTTTGAAGGTATTCAGTAAAAATTTACTGAGTGAATGAATGTATGAACAAATGAGTGAGTGAATTTCACCGCCAATAAACTTTCTGGGCTACATAGAACTCTTCTTATGACTGAGAAGGATTTAATAATGCATTAAACAGAGCCATGAGCATTACAAGGGTGTGAGTCAATAACAAGTGATCAACCCCTTTGTGGAAAGCACTGCACTTTGTATTACTGGAAGGTTCCATAGGAAACAGATACTCTATTCCTTGTAGTCCTAACGGAAGGAGTAGAATTTGGCCCAATACACACTGAGTGAGAGCAGCACTACGAGCCGTGTGGGAGCTGTGGGCATTGCTATAGAGGAGACACTGGGAGTGGAGACACATGGCCTTTGATTGAATCACTGGCATGTGTCAACACAGAGAAGCAGCGTTGGCAGGAGCAGAGGATTCCTGTTTGAGAAGGGGCAGGTGAAGAGAGTTACTTTGCTGGAATGCAGTGTCCTAATTATGCTGTAACTGAGGATAAACTTCACAAGGAAATGGAGGCACATTAATACAATAAAAGGCTTTGACTTGAAACTTAGCAATTTAGGTTTGATATGGGTAGATTTGATATAGTTAGCATCCATGGGCTTCCAAGCCAGGTAAGCAAGGGTTGTAGGGCTGACTGGACGATGTCGATTCTATGGGAAGAGAGAATGGCTAGAGGGCAGTTTAATTACCCAGGTAAAGGACAGTTAGTGTCTTAACCCAGGTTGAGACCACGGGAATGCAGAAGAGAATGGCAGGGACTTGGTCATGAACGGATCCAAGTGCAGAGCAATGATGAGGGAAAGGGCATTCGGGACTGACAAATGACAGGTGTCAGTGATTCCTAGAGCTGTATGATTTACACTTTGAGTCTTCAGTCAGCAACCACTGTTTTACAGAATGAAGAAAGAAAGAGAAGAAAAGAAAAGGGGAAGGAAATAGGACTGTCTGAGACCCAAATGGGCCAAGATAATGTCCAGTGGTTCACTTAACAGGGACAAAAATAATGTTTCATGTGTGGAAAAGAGTACCTGGCTACTGCTTGTATTTTTTTAATCATCTCTAGCAGCTCCTGCTTGTGTCACCTGACGACCTGTCCACTCTGGCTATAAGGGGAAGGGAATGGTAAAAACAGACAGATTGTTTGCGGCTGGCGTCACAAAAGGCAATAACATCCAACTGTCTTCATGGCCACTTGGCTCTTCGATCATGTGGTTCCTTATCTGCTCACCAATGGCTGCCGGCAGCACCTCAGACATGGCACACGCCTTCAGTGGGCGGGAGAGCAGGCAGCTTCAGCTCCTCTGTCCAACACTTGCTGAGGTTTGTATTCAGTAAGAATCCCAAGAGAGAGAAGTTCCGTGTGGATAAAGTGTCTCACTCACTGTGTGCTGCTGGACAAACTCTTTAACTTCTAACTGCCTTCTGTCAAATAGCAGTCATTGCAGTGTCTCTGAGACAGATGCTGTTCCATGTGCTAGCCAGGAGCAAGGAAGGCAGGCATGCACACCTTGATGGAGCTTCCATGACAGTGGGGGAGACACATGTGAACTCCACAGAGCGTCACAGGGCGCTACGTGCAGGGGATAAAGCAAGCTGATTGCAATTAAAGAGGATGATGGGGAAGCCCTCCCTGAGAAGGTGGCAGGAAGGGATCATCTCTCCCTGGGTTGTTAGGAGAATTAAAATAGTTTCTGTGTGTACAACATCTGGTAAACCTCCGAGCCAGTGTCGGCAGAAATGGTAGCTATTATCTCTAAACAATAAATTTACAAAAGCATAACAAAATCCTGAGTTTGGGCTACCAGGGTTTGGTTCTTGTATGAGACAAAGAGAGAGAGAATTTTTACTCAAAAGGCCTTGGGTTCCAAGGAAAACAATTATATCACTTACACCACCTGCTTAAGGAGAGAAAAATACGAAAGCAGTGTCTCCAAACTTTTAGCTGCATCCAGGCTGCTGCCTCAAATCTGGCATCCTAAGTGGGAAAGAGGCTGTGAGACATCAGGGCAAGAATTACAGAGACAACGCCTAGACCAGCAGGGGCGGGAAGGGTTTCGCTCGCCTCTGTATTTCCAGCTGGTATTGCACATGCAGAGTGCGTGGTCAATCACTATTTGTTGAATGCAGGAATAAATATGTCCTTTTATGACCAATGTCACAGCACTTCTCAAATCTCAGGATAATTGAGCTCTTTCCCTAAAGATCCACAGGAGGACACGTCTTGCTTGGGGTGATGTACCAAAGACAAAGATGGTTTCAGCTAGAGCTAGAATTCCAAATACGTAGCCTTATGCTGGATCCAGTTCCTCTTTCTCATTTATCTCCCATCCATCCACACCAAATTTCCACAGTAGCTATTCCAGCCTCTTCACTGGGGCCTGATGGGGAAATTCATTTTGGAAGGGTCCAAGGACAGCATCATCCAGGGCTGTGGACGCTGAATTGTCCCATCTCAGCCCGGTTTTTCCATCCCTAGCTATCATGATGGCCCCCGGTCAGTATTGTTCTAAGAAACTGTAATTCTCTGATGAGCATTAGTGTGGAAGACTTTAAGTTGGAATCCCTCTTTTTTGAGTGACAGCCTTCAAACACGGCTTAGGACAGTCTTACACAGCCCTGGGAGGGGCCGGAGCCCACCGTCGCTTGGTTCTCAGCCATCTCGGTGAGAGCCTGGCTGCTTTCTGGAAGAAGCAGAGCAGTGGATGAAGAGATGGGGCAGTGCCAAGGAGAAAATGCTACTCGGCTTGCGGTTCAGACACCCCCTCCCTCCTCTGCTCCCGGCTGGCTGGCTGCTGCTCTGAGGAACAGGTGCCGGGGCTCTGGGATACCCTCCAGGTCTTCACATAGCTAAGCCTTTCATTCGGCAAAAGGAGCGTCTGCCTGAATCGCCCCTCATTGTGCCACAACACTTCCCACGTCCTGTGTTTTGGCTTTTCAGGACCCTATTTTCCCCCTAATAACTGTAAAGTGGACAGTGTATTTATGGTTGAAAATTGGCTGCCATAGTGATATTAATTTTAAAAACAGGGTTCTGGCACATATTCAGTATCGCTATGGAAACGGCTGTTTCTAGCAATTCACTGATAAGATAGAATTCAAGGACTCAGGTCTGTGTGGGAGGTTTTTACCATCCACCAAACTGAAGACCTACTTGTAACAACAGTAATTCACAAGAACAGCTCTCCTCAGTCTTAAATATAGAATATTTCTCTCTCTTTTTTTTCTTAATTTGTGGCATGATAGTTAAAAAGCTGTCCTCATTTTGCTTTAAATATACAGATGGAAGACAAATATTCTAATTAGTTTTAAAAACACAACATCTTTAAAGTAAACTTTCCATTGATCACTAATTCTTATAATACTTCATAATAGTCTTACTTAGCTACTTGTGTTAACGCTAAATACACACACACACAAACTAGTTTCAGAAACTCACATATTGAAGCTGGAATGTAACCTATAATTAACTGGCACGTTCATACATTGTAACTTCCCATCTTAAACTGTCCCCACATGTTTCTATATAACTGATACAACCAAATTCTGAGAAGGATTTGAAGTAATTCACTCTACAGTAGTGTTTCCCAGGAGTCAATCTTTAACCCCAACATTGCCGCCACTTCTAACCACAAACACACTCCTGTTGATTTCACAAAACTCAGGCACGAGAGAAAGAAGGACCTAAGGTGGTACCTGGAACGTCAGACCTTGAATTTCCTCACTTTAAGTCAAAGCTTTCACATTTTCACTTCCTTCAACTCGGAAATGTGACGTTAAGTTTCCCAAGAACTCCTGTAATGCTTCATATTTTTTCCGGGCTCCTTCCGATGTGTTTATTGTTTTCACATTCTTCTGAATGCTGTCGTCAGCCCTAAATATTATGACAGGCACATCCTGATGCTGTGGACAGAAATGGTCCCATTTCTTTTTCTTTCCAGACAAACCAGCTCACTTTGTGTTTTCCAAATTAGATTCACTGCTCAGCAATCAATCAGTGAGGGAACAGCTGATCCTGATGGGCCAGATCGCCAGCTCCCCCTCAGCGCTGTGAGGGTGATAACGGACTGTCCCTCAATTGTCCCCAAGCTCGGCTCTGAGCGCTGACATTTCACAAGGGTAGGCTGTGGATGGTAGGAGTTCTGAAACGCAAGCAGGACCAAGGAAATCAGCCAGGGAAGGGTCACTCTGGATAAGAAAAACCAAGAGCCACAACAAGGATTGAGTTCCCGTCTGCACCTGCGCATCATGAGAAGCTCTATATATGCGTGAATGCTGCCAATTCTCAGAACAGTTCTAAGAGATGAGAATTATTATCCTCATTTTATGGGAATTATTAAATTCCCATATTTAAGTATACAACACCAGCAGCAAAACTGGATTCAAACCCATTTCTGTCTGTTTAGCAAGTACATGCTCTTTCCAATCTCTCTTCAGAAGAAACACAGCATAAAATGCCTTTTCTGTAATTTAAGAAAATAAAAGCTCATGTATGGTTCCAGTACATTCCAGCATCCTCTCAGGTAAGAAGGTTCAAAATAAGTTTTAACAGTTTCACCTCAGAATGCTGGATTGTAACCATGCCTTGGGTCATACATAGGCTACAACAAGTCCATATTTCAGAATGAATCTTCTTTGGGGGAAAAAAATAAATGAAACACCTACTGATTTTATTCTGCAGATATAGAGTTCAATGTAATCGCAGTTTACTTTAATCACATGTAACATGTACATTTAAAAAAGATGTGAACATAGTAACCATACCGATCGCAGTATAAGCCATTTTTTAAAAAGATAATTTTACATGAAATTTTTAATTAATTTGGGGTATGTCTTTTCAGAAAAAGATTCTTCAAAAGTGCAGTGTTAGAAGTCTAACCCATCCAAACACTTCTGGCCTCAAATCCATGCTGTTTTTCAGGACAGTCCCGCCCTTGGAGGCCTCTATCAGTTCATGTGTCACAGCAGTTTCCGTTATCAAAAGATCCATTCCCGTGCTGGGTATTTTAAGCACAGTCGAAGAATAGCAGAGCAAAAAAAAGGCCTTTCAACCATGGGAATTCAAAAGCAAAGGGCCCTCAAGAGGGGATTTCAAAACCCTACTCGTTCAGCCTTACTCCAAAGCTTAATGACATGCCCTATTTGATATAGTTGGGCGAACTGTTTCATCAAAAACTTTATCTGAAGCTTAGATTTGCAATATTAGGTTTGTAGGTTGGCTCCCTTGGTCATACTGCAAGGTATTGAGGGAGTTCTGGCTTATCTTTTGTAAGTAAACAGGTTTAGGGATGATGATAAATGGCATATTAATGGCTTCTGATATTTTCGTGTGTTGGGAACTTGCTTTAGGCCATGGCTTGTGTCTTTCGCATCCATTGTGTTTCATGACTTCCACCCTTTGAAGGAGATATTATTATCCAGTTTTATAGGTGATGGATATGAGTCTCTGAGAAGGGAAGTAACTTGCTGGTGTTCACACACGTGAGTGGCAGAGCTGTGAATCAAACCCAGGACTCTGGCTCCATCGGCTGAGCCTTAACCACTTCATCACACAGCCAGGAGTGGCTGCCTCTCAGAACTTGAATCTGCTCTTTCCTTCTCACTACATTTCTGAGAACAGTGGAGCTGGTGTAGACAAGAGTCCTGGTTCCTCACAGGTCACAAGATATATGAAGCGGATCAGCTCTCTGGTTCTCTTTGTGATGCTAACAAGGACACAGAGCCTACACCAATGGTTCCTTCTCCCTTTCTAGTTACAAGGCAGCATATGAGAGGGTCTATGTTTTCGCTTCACCAGTGTAATAATTCTCAGACCAGATGAGAAGAGCCCAGAATAGTTCAGAAAACAGACAAACCAAGTGATTTCTCAGTTCTCCTTATGGGTGTGGACACTCTCAACTCACTCATCCAGGAGAACAGCCTTTTACTCCTGAAGATGACACAATTTACTGGACAGACTAAGTCCACATCCAGGAACAAGACTGGACATTATCTAAAGGTCCCTAGATGATACCAATGGTTTTTGCTGGTCAGATTCCATCTGCCCTTCTGAGTGCCAGACTTTTGACACTTCAAGGTCAAGTCTATGGCTCTATTCATTTTTCCCATACCACAGTTATCTTTACAGATGAAAGATGGAGTTACTTACAAAATGATGGCCACACAGCACGGCTAGAGAACTCACCCTCTAGTTGAGGTAAACTCTTTTTCTCAAAAACTACCAAATTCTAGGAAACTCAATATGCTGTACTCCTAAAGCTCCAATAACTGGAGGATGAAACGTTGTTATGACTCAGAATTTTCCACAGTCATGTGAAAGTGGAGAGGGGGAAATAATTAGTTCTAACTGTCTAATAGCACGATATACCTGAATGTCTTCCAGGCACTGAAAAAAGCTTTTTTCCCAGACTGAATTCGTAGTCTTCCTACACAAACCTGTTTCTTCTCCCCCAATTAATGATATCCCAGTGCACGCGGTCACCTAATGTGGAAGCATCAGCCATCATTATCTTTCCTCTGCTGCTCCCCAACCTCATACAATCTGACATGGAGTGACCTCTAACTCAGATATATCTCTCAACCATTTTTTCCTTCAATTCTCACTCTATTGGCAAATTTAGACCTAGGTCAACTCTTATCATGACTAATGAAATAAACTGCTGTTTTTCTCTACCTCCAGCTTCTTCCCCACCTTCAGTGTCACCCATCCTCCACCCTGTTACCAAATTAATGAGATACAGATCTGATTGTATCATGCTCTTGCATCAACTTTTCAGCAGCTCCCCACTGACTATAGGACAAAGTCTGAATTTTAGCATGGCTTTCCAATTTCTCAGCAAGATTAATCTACTTTATAGTTCTGTATCTTCCCAACTTTTAAAATCCTTTCCCAATTCAAACATACCACATTCATGGACCATACCTTTGGTCACACTGGATTTCTTTCTATTTCCCCACACTCTAAGGACTTTTATATTCCTTGGCCCTTTTTTATTTCAAATTGTTTCATCCAGGTAGAATTTCCTGCTTGAAATATCTGAATGTCCACTCAACCTCCAAAGAACCATCACATGCCTCATTCCAACATTGCTCCACCTACACTCCATTGCAGTTCAGTTATGACACTATCATAACATGTATTTATAATGTATTGTGATTATTTATGTGTGTGTGTCCTCCTCTTTTCCCATCCCCAGAATCTGAGTTCCAGATTCCAAACTTTGATTTATCTTTGTATTTTTGTTTCCTACCTCAGCAAAAATGTCCATAGGAGATAATCAATAAGTATTGTTGAATGAATGAATAAACTAATGAGCCATATTTGAACAGGGCTTATAGTGAGTACACCCAAGACAACATTATGAAGAAAGGTAATATTATATTAATTATGTAATGGTTTAAACTAAGGCACAGTGAACAAGAAGAAAAACTCTACGGAGAGCAAAGATATTTAAAATTTCATAGGATGTTAAACCAGCCAAGATTCCACCTGTAAGAGTAGATTGGTTGGGTAATGAGTGACGGGTCACACAGAAAGCTAAATGAGAAGATAAACTATCTTACTGCTGCTTTTACTCTGACAGAAATATTTCTTTGAAAACCAGTAAAAAAATTCAAATAGTGACTGCTTCCTGTCTTTAATATTTCTGTGCAATGAAATCACAGTTTCACGTTACCCATTGCTGAAAAGTGCTAGGCAAACACATTGGAATCAACATTAACCAAACCACTGTGTACAGCACCCCTGGGTGTCCTGGATCCAGCTCCTCCTGACAGGGCTCCACTGTTTTCTGTTTTGAGATGTTTGGTTCAACATCGAGCTCATGTGTTTTCACAACCATTCAATTTGTCACATTGAATCCAAATCAAAGGGCCGACTGTGGAAATCACCTGCGAGACTAGTGCACAGCCGAGCATTCTCTATTCTGGGATCTTTCCCATGAGACCCAACTAATTTAATTTGCTTCCTTTCCCCAAAAAACAACCATTTTTCAGTAAAACAAAATTTTCTTGTAAAACAACCGTTCTTTCAGTCTAAAATCAGAACTTTTGGCAAAGGAGGCAAGAGATTGTGAATAACATGTTTCTATAGAGGTAGAACTATTTTACAAATATACCTGTGGGTTCGTCCTCTGCCCTTGATGTCACACGAATGATCTCAGTCACTGAGATTAAGACACAGAGTAAACACAGGAGCCGTTTCATGCCACATCTTCTGACTCTAGACCTGAGATGCTAGATACATAGTCATTTCCACATGATCTGGGATTTAAGACGTTGGTCTTTTTACCATCCTGAGTGGCACCAGTGCTCTGGTTGGTTTTCATTCCAGGGAAGTTCCAGTGTCCTTTGTACTATAATTCACATCAAAATTATTTCATTCCTTCCAGTTGGCAGGTGACTTGATCTCGGACATTTTCACCGCCATCGGCTCCGTGACGTTAGCCTTGTTGTTGATCCTCTTTCTGGCGATTGCTGCTTCTGTTGTCGCCTCCAACAAAAGGGCAACTCAGGGAACCTACAGCCCGAGCCGTCAGGAAAAGGAGGGCTCTCGAGTGGAGATGTGGAGCATGATGCCACCCCCAGTGATGGAGAGGCTGATTTAGGAGCATTCCGTCTGGCTGAGGAGATCCACACACTGAGAACACGAGGACTGCACTCGAGTGCTTTTCTGACGTACCTGGAGACTTCAGTTTACAACTGGGATTGCACTGAGACTGTGGGAAGGACTCCTTTGGCCTCCTTAAAGACTTTCATAGTGCTTCAACTTGACACCATTGTTTTATTATGTTGTATTAGCCAAGCACAGCAGAGTGTTTTTGTGCTGGTAATTTCAGCCTCATAATTAGCAAAACTATCTTCCAGGGGACAATGTCTTCTGGGAAAAGCTCCAGTGCCTGTCATTCATACTCTTTACTCTTTGCAACCTGGGGACATTTTTTAAGTTTGCCTGTTAGCTGGCAGCCACATTTTTTTACACAGAAACTACAGGGAAAAAAAAATAGAATACATTTCTCACTCTTCCCATCATGTGGCGAAAGGTTTTAGTCCTATACCTAGGATGGGACGTACATATTTGTCCTTCAGTCATGGATTCCAGAAAGCCATGGGAAGGACGTATGGCTAAAAAGCAGCCAACATCAACAAATAAAAACTGAAATGTGGTGATTCTCCTTTCCGAGTATTTTTTGCATTTTGTGACATTACCTATGACCAAAGTAACTTCTGGGAGCATTTGAAAAACCTTCCTGTGAATTAGATCTTTTAACTAAATCATCTCAAGCGCTACATTTAAAGTCATTGCTCTTCATAAGGGGTTGCTTGAGGTCAAAACACTTCCCCAGACAGAAAACAAGATAAAAGTAAAACTCAGATTCTCAAATCTAAAAGACCAAGCTCTTTCCTTCCAACCGCTTTTTGATAAGTCAGCGTCAAACAGTGACATTGTCTAATGGAAAGAACCCCAAAGTGAGGTGCATGCACTTCAAGGGATATGTGTGTAAGAATAAGAGAAAATACTGGGCCTTCTATTTACGTGGCTTTTCTCCAAGGGTTTGGTTAGAATTTTATATATGCTTTGAAATGCGTGTACCATGCTATCAAAGTAGCATATAAATAAAAACTTAAAATATATGCATGTATATTTTGGATATATGCTCAAAAAATGTAATGGCATGAATTTTTAAAACTGTTCCAGAGCAGTCCATCCTTCTCAACTACTGAAAGACATCATTCCAGAAATTGACCCTCTTTCCCACATCATTGGTTTTTCCACTGTACTGGATTACTTCCAATAGCGCCAGACATGCTGTCATATTTCCCATCACACACCATTCTCCCCTGTGGCTCACATCTCCCTCCAGTTACCGTCCCATTCCTAAGCACCTCTTTCAGCAAAACATCCACAGGAGAGTTTCCTGTGTTCTCTGTCTCTCCTTCCTCTCCTCTTGTTCTCTCTTGAACTCAAACAAATTTGGCTTTTCTCTAAATCCTTCCATGAAAGAGCTCAGATCAGAGTCACCAGTGACCTCTACATTGACAAGCACAATGGCCCGTCCTCAGTCCTCAGCTTACCCCACCTCTCAGCAGCCTCTGAAACAACTGTCATTCCTTTCTTAAAATACTTCCACCCAATGGGACACCATTCCATCTTGATTTTCCTCTGACCTCACTCTCTGCCCCTCCATCTCTTTTACTGGTTTCCCTTCATCTCCTTGACCTTGTGTTATTTTCTTCCATATCCTTTATCAATCCTTGACAAATCACATACTTTTTTACCCTCTGCTTCCCCTGACTGGAATTTAATTTACATAAGGACAAGAACTTTGCTGTTTTCTTTCACTGTAATATCCCTCACCTAGAGCAGGCCCGACCCATAGGAAAAACACAGTAAATATTTTCTGCATAAATGGACAAATAATGAATGAATGTTGCTCAAATTTGTGCCTGCCGCCAGCAAAATCCCAAAGTGCCCAAGATTCCTGTGGACTGTCTTTGGATGCTTTGGCTAGTAGACTCTCATGGCTCTGTAGCCTATCTAATGTCTTAATCTCTGACATTTCCTCAATTTCTAATATGCTTTAAGTGTTAGTTCAAGAAAATGGATGTCTCTGGGTTTTCTCCATGTGGAGTGTGCCATGAAACATTTTCTTTACTTTTCCATTCCATCAGTGTTATAATTTCTTAATAAAAGTTTATACGAAAAAGACCAAAAAACCCCAAAACAAAAAAATAAGTAGCTGAGTTTAAAAACTAAAAACAAAAAAATCACAGAGGAGAAGTTGGTCCTATTGGGATTAGCACAGGTAAGAAGAAAAAGATAACTGGCAATGGTAATATCTTCAGTTTAGAGAAGGTGTCTAGTTAATCTGGCTATTCACCCTGTTCCCATGGCTAGTTTAGGGCTTTGCATAGGCATGCATGTTCAAATATATGCATGAATGAATGCATGCAGACTGAATAAACAAATGATTCCATGTGGACACTCCAAATTCATAAGGTACTTACAGACTGGCCCAGCAAGCCACACCTCTGTATTTTTGAACAAGCTAACTATACAATACCTTATGCAGGAAGGCTTCAAATTTTGCCCAATGGAGTATTTGCACTGAACTCTCTTTAACAAGATAAACTTCACCTTAAGTAGGAAAGTCTAGCATCTGCAACTTTCATATCATGTGTGTCTTTGCAATTTGTGTTAGCTTGGTTTCACACACAGCCAAAACCATTCCTCTCACGCTCGTTTGCATTGTAACGTTGCCACCCCTCCCATGGAGAGGGGGCAGTCTGTTTGCCTCCCCCAAGTCATAGCTGGCCGGTGACTTGCTTTCACCAACAGAATGTCATGGAAATGATGCTGGGTGCAGAGGCTTGTAGCTTTGTCCCGTCTCTCGGGTGGCAGCCCCAGAGTGGACCCTGGGCAGCCAAAATCATTATTATCACCAATTCGTATTAGTGGCAGAGTGAGGAGTAATTGTGGAACTAGAAGGCATCATTGCAACAGTAATTTTGATCGTCATCGTGATCTTGAGGGGTCCTTTAGGGAGCTCTTGCTACATTATGTGCATGATGTCTCATGTAACCCTTACGACAGCTCTTTGAAAGAAGAACTTTTACCCTGATTTTAAGAGCCTTTGGGGACAAAGAAACATAGGTTTAAATTTCTTTTTTTTTAAAGATTGGCACCTGAGCTAAAATCTGTTGCCAATCTTTTTTTCCCCTTCTTCTTCTTCTCCCCAAAGCCCCCCAGTACATAGTCGTAAATTCCAGTTGTGAGTGCCTCTGGTTGGGCTACGTGGGATGCCACCTCAGCATGACCTGATGAGCGGTGCCATGTCTGCGCCCAGGATCCAAACCAGCAAAACCCTGGGCCACTGAGGTGGAGCATGCGAACTTAACCACTCTGCCACGGGGCCAGCCCCAGGTTTAAATTTCTGATCTGCCCCATTTAGCGGACATGAACTCAGCCTGAAAATTGGAAATCATACCTCTATCTCAGAGGAACGTTATCTTAATTATCAGTGTAAAACGTTGACTGCAGGTAAGCACACAACGTGTAGCATCAACTATTATTAATGGACAAGGTGGAGCCTCAGGAGGATGAGGGACAAGCAGAGGCAACATTTCCTCCTACCTCCTACCCAACCTGCCAAAGCACGTGGGTAACCCCTCCTCCTATCCTCCTTCCCATCCACCTTATGAGGTATTAAGAAAACGAGCAGGTTTTGCATAGAGAAAGGTGGTTTCTTCATGTCGTTCCAATGCCTCTGAATTGCCCCTGTGACGGCAGAACCGCCCACCTGAAGAAATCACTTCATGTGTAAGACGGACATGAACCGTGCATGCCTCTTGTATGTTCTCAATAAAATTGTCAGGAAATAAATCAAAAGGTCTCAGGTCTCTCAGGCCTCTAAACAACTGATGATAAGAATTTTTTAAAAAGTTTTGCTTTACAGAAATGACTTTTTTTTTCTTTGCTCAGCCTTTTAGGATTACTCCCTAAACCTCTTTTGTTAAGGAATCACAATCCTCTACCAGCAGCAGCAGCAAAAATCATCGACAGATCGACCCGTGCATCTTGGTTTAAATCATCCTCTTGATGATGATTGACTAGCCCGCTTCACCTGGTTTTACGCTCTACAGAGGCATGATTCAGATCATGAAACTTTCCTCAATTCTGGAGTGAATGTGACCTTTCACATTCCAACCTGCTTCCAGCAAATGTGCAACTTTTACTGCTGTGCGTTGCACTGACGAGTGATGACAAAAATGCATGTTTCCAATTTAAGCCCATTCTTCTGTGATTTGGTACCCAGGCTTTGCTTTACGTGGTTCCAGAAGCCTGGGAACCACATCCATCAAATATATTTGACAGCACCTGCCCGAGGACAGTGGCTTTAAGAACCACTCACAGGCTCTCCTCGTCTGTTGGGTGACAACCTCCCTTCAAAACTGCTCCCCAAACCACATCTTCCAGCTCTAAGAGGTGCTCCCAGATTATAACTTGAGGTTCCAGAATTGGAGCTCTTTTAGGGCTGAAATAAAGCAAACCCCAAATGGAAACAAGTATACGTGTTGTTAAAAGTCCCCAAAGTATAGCTGCTCCAGAACCCTGTTGCGACTCAGCCCTTCATGTCATGGACTTGGATATGCCACCAGTCAATTCATTCAGTGACCTGCTAACACCCCGGAGCCTTTTACTGCATGGGGTAGTCATCCACAAGATAATGTCTAAGCTAACTTCCTCCTAACAGAGAGAATTCAGAGACCTCATTTTGCCAGGCCGGTCCGGTTTTCCAAAAAGGAAATTTCTCTCCATTTGAATAAGTTAGGGATGTTTAATTTTGCAAGAACATAAATAACTGAAGACTAACCACCAAGAACAGGTTTCATTTTAAAATATTTTGTCATATGGAAAAATTCAGTTAAGCCTAACTCTTCAGGTTTCTTTTTATGAGGCTGTCAAAATTATTAGGTTTCTGAGGTCCAGAATATAGACATCTGCACACGAACCCAGGCTCAAGTTTCCCTCAAAGTCTGTTATTTTCCTAATGCATCGGCATCTAATTCTCTGATAGACAGAACGGAAGCCAGAAGGACCTCTTGACTGGCGATCTGAATAGTACATGGATTTCAGTTCAATATCCCTCCACTGCTAAGTACTAATTTAGTTCAAATATTCAATCTGTAGTAATATGACTTAAGTGTCTCGAATGGAAGAGGGGCAAGGATGATCAATTTAATAATTATGGACTGTCCAACTGAAGCATCTAATGGCCAGAATTACCGGTTAGAAGAGATTCCAATTATGTCAGCTTATTTGGCATTTGGTAGACTATTACTACTTTGGTAGAATGGGAGACCTTGTCATGGGAAATAACGAAGAGAACGTAGTTTACAATTAGAAAGTAAAATATGATGTTGTCATCTGAAGTGACAGAGGTCACCTTAAATCATTTGAAACAAAATACAAATTAATTCCAGTACCTCTCTCTCTCTGAGAAACTGGCCAAACACACCCATGTGATAAAATTACATTTATTGAGATTTAATGGAGTTCCAGGATCTTATATGAATATTGTTTTGACCTACTGGAAGCATTTCAGTAGATCTAACATGCACCTTCAAGAGTAACTAGTCCAGAGAAGAGACAATTGTACAAGACTCCGAAGTGTCATAAAATAAACATTGTTGCCTTGCACAGCTAATGTTAAAACCTGCTTGATAAACAGTCTCAGTTATTTTAAAGAGGATGATTAGGCTTCCTCTCAGAAGATATTTCTTTCTATGTTCTTTGGTCAAGAAATTAAAACCAGAGGTGATAAAGGTGTGCGAAAAATATCTCAAGAGAGCAGATAAATTCACAGGCCAAGATTCAAGGTAGATCCTAGTAGTATTTAGGAGCAATTTTGGTCAAAAACAGTCACCTGTGTGAAAGCCTTTGCTGAACAGAGACGAGACAGACTTCACATTCTTTAATCAATTATATAGACAAAGTAAAAACAGATTTGGGGGATGCTGTGGTATTTTAATCACTGTTACAAGTTAGATATTTAAAAAAAAGTCAGTTTATTTTTTCCTTAAAACTATAAATATTTCTCTTTGCTGCTGTCAGATGCCGGTCCGGACGTCTA